CCTGCGGAACCCCTCTGCCCACATCCCTCCAGGTTGAAAATGACCCATCCACTACCACTCTCTGGGTGCGGCCCTCCAGCCAGTTAGTGACCCATTTGACTGTGTAGGTGTCAACACCACAGTCCCCTAGTTTTTTAATGAGAATGGGGTGAGAGACAGTGTTGAAGGCCTTCCTAAAGTCCAGAAATACTATGTCAGTGAAAAGGACTCTTCTGAAGTGATTTCATTTTGCTAAGTATTTTATTGGCACTTCTTTTCTTTTCTATTTCTTGGTGTTTTCTGATTTTTTTTTCTTTTGTTCTTTTTTCTTCCTTCACAGATTAGAACAGATCTATTATTTATTTATTTATATATTTATTTATTATATAAATAAAATTATTGTGTGTGTATACATATTTATATATGTATGTGTGTCTATATATATGTAGTAGGGCTGGGTGTTTCATTTTGGAGCTGTTTTGAACTTGAAACAGTGAAATCAAAATGAAACAAAAGGCTTTGAAGCAGCTTCAAAATGAAATGAGGGCACTTGAAGCATTTTGAAATCTCAAAACATTTTGAGTTTTGAAGCTGGTATTACTTGGTTACAGTGCCAGTCCCAGGTGATGGCAGCAGCCTCCTTTCATCTGTCATGCAGATCTGGGGGCCTGTGCCGCAAGAGGAGTCTGGCACAGCCCCTCAGCCTTTTCATGGTTCCCCATTATAGCCTATGAGCAAAATATCAAAACAGCGAAACAGCTTCAACGAAACAAAACAGAACAGTGCTTCAAAACCTAAATGAAACAAAACACTGCCCCTTCAAAATGGAGAAATTGAAGTCGAAACAAAATGGTGCTGTTTCGCACAGCTGTGTGCGTGTGTGTAGAGTTAAGCTGAAAACTCCATTATATAAATGGTATGGAATTTAAGATTTTTAAACCAGATATTAAGATTTGTAGGGGTGTGTGTGTGTATGCATGTGTACTAGGAAAATCTCTTTCATTGGTTTACCATGGATGAACAGTTTATTTAGTGGAATTCTAACTTTAAAAGGAAAAATGGTATGTTTAAGGAAGTCATGCACATAAGTGGTGACTTTCTGATGTTTCTGAAAATAGTCATTGTATATGGAGTAAGGATTAGATTTATCCTGTGTTTCTATGGGGAAAAAAGCATTAACCCATGCGTGAATATAGATCATGGCTTTGATTAATTCTCACTTAGTTTACACTATGTGAATAGTTTCCTGATCAGATTTGTTTTTTTCAGCACATTTTCTAGGAAAAAAAGGTAGATACCCACATAACAAAAATCTTTTAAATAGCTTTTATTAGCTCACTTTTTCATTTTCTCTTTGTTGCAGCAGGGTCGTCGGGGCTTTAGTAGGATAGATCTGTATTAGGAATGTTTTTCAAGTATAGTTGTAGTGCTGTACTTTATCAATGAAGCCCTCCAAATCATGGATGCATTTTGTATTACCAAAACATAATTTTTTGCCTGTTTTGTATTTTTGCTGTCAGTGGTTATTTTGGCCACTTTTTATCCTACAGTTCTGCTAGTAAACTATATTCACAGAAGGAGCTTTTACTCTAACAACTATGCCAGTGACTCTTATTATCACATTTTGTAGTAATAGATCTGGACATAAAGATGTTAGTACACAGTTTACTCTACAACAAGGGTATGGTGGTTGGGAAGCAGCTTGCGCTGGCGCTGGATAGGTAGAGAGCTGCAGATGAGTATCACTAGGTGCATCTACAGGAGATGCTTTACTCGAGATTGGAGCAAATTACTGTGCAGTAAGTGTCATCGTCTACATGTGTAGATGCTTACTGCACAGTAGTTTAATCTAACTGCCAGTAAATTTGCTACCTGTAAATACAAGTAGCAAATGTACTTGGGAGTAATGTGCATTACAGCACATGTAGATGGCTGACTGGGCGCAAATGTGCTTTTGATCACCTGGGTAACAGGGGGTGGGAGGGCAGGAGATTGCTGCCTGCCCCTGGGTGCTGCCAAGAAGGGCTCTGCCACTGGCACTGCAATGTCCTCCTGCCCTGCCAGCAGGAAGCTTCCAGCCTCTGCTCCGCAATCATGGAGCAGCAGCTGGAAGCTTCCAGCCTCTGCTCCGCAATCATGGAGCAGCAGCTGGAAGGTTCTTATCTCTCAGCCCTAGCTCCGCAACCTTGAAGCTGGGGCTGGAAGTTTCTTATCTCCCAGCCTGGGATCCATGGCTGCAGAGCTGAGGCTAGGAGATAAGAATATCCCAGCCCCAACTCCTAGGTTGCAGAGCCATGACTGAGAGATAAGAATCTTGCATCCCCAGCTCTGTAGTCACAATTGGGGCTAGGAGCTCCCAGCTGCCAGGGCAGGAGGACATTGTCCCCATTCAGGCTCCAGTGGTGGAGCCTGCCCTGGGGGCAGGGAGCAATATCCCAGCCCCTGCCAGGAGATAGCTGTCTCCTGGCCCCATGCTTGCTGCGAGCCCCTGGGCTAGCACTTGAGTGGAGCCTCGAGCTCCCCCTGGCTGCTGTAGGGTGTTGGTGCAGGGTCAGCAGGGGTGGGAGCTGACTGCTTCCATGAGTAACAAATCTGCTCCTGCTTCCAAGGGTGGCCATCATAGAGGACATTCCAGTTTTCTGCTACTCTGTCTTCTATCCTCTATTGATACAAAACCCAATGCCTTTTATGTTCTCTATTTTTCTCTTGAAGAGAACTAAAATTCAGTTCTAGAGAACTAGAACCCTGCTTTAGTGTCAACTAAAATTCTCTTGAAGAGAAAAATAGAGGACGTAAAGGCATAGGGTTTTGTATCAATAGAGGACAACTGGATTGCCCTCTGTGATGGCCACCCTACCACTTCCCTGCACATGTAGATGCCTGACCAGGGTGGGTTTACTCCTAGAATGAATTACTTTAGCAGGTGTGGGCAAAATAAGACCCACAGGCCAGATCTGGCCTGCTAGGCAATTTCATTCAGCCTTCAGGTGCCCACCAACTAATTGTACCCCACCCAGTGGAGGGAGAGGGAGCTGCAGCTTGGCAGGAGTGTGTGGCTGGGGCTGGTGGGAGCACGGAGCCCATGCCCAGAGGGGGGTGGGATTGTGGAGTTTAGGTGGGCAGTGTGGGTATGAGGGAGGGTGGGGGGTATCACAACCATCCCACACTTTCTCTCCCCCTGTTGCCAGTGACAGCAACAGCAGCAGGTAGCAGGCAGTTGGAGCACTCATGGCCTGTGCAGTACTGCTGCCAGGCAGCATGCAGCTCCAGCCAGTGTTGCACATGGTGGTGAGGAGTGTACCCAGGCCGGATCGCCTTTATCATGTGTGGCTGTCCACAGTGCATGTGCAGCTCCTGGCACTTGTGCACTACCAAAGGAAGCCTCACATGATGGAGCTGGCTGCTTTCCCTGCCCCCTGCCATGCAGGCCCCAGACTGCACCAGAAGTAGAGGGCAGCCCTGCCCCCTGCTTCCTGGTGGAGTCCCGGGATGTGCATGGCAGGAGGCAGGGAAGGAGGTGGCTCCATTGGGGCTTCCTCCAGTGGCAGGCAAGTGCCAGGAGCTGCACATGTGCTGCAGGAAGCCCCACACAGTAGAAGTGGGCTGTCCTGGCTGAGCTCACTGCCATCACATCCTGCACTGATGGGAGCCATGCATGGTGTGCCACCAGGTGGCTGCACCTGTATGGGCCACAAGTGCCCCAAATGCCTGCTGCCGATGCTGCCACTGGTAGCAGGAGCTGAGTGCCATGGAGGGGAGTGGTGTGGGGCAGTCCTCACACCCCACAAAAACCACACACCCACACCCTAACCCCACAAGCCCCACATATATATACCACCCCAACATACCCTATGTCCCCCACACTCACGGCCAGACCCCCTCACAAACCCCAATCACACCCCACATCCTTCCCACATACAATATACAAGAGTAAGACTTTATTTTTGAATTATTATGCAATCTTTTCTATATGCACTGTGCAAACACAAATCATTACAAAAATATTTTTGGTAATAAAATTAAATATGTTATAGTAGGTATTTGACTTCTAGTAAATGATTTGTTTTTTTTATGGTTCCAAGATGGCAGCCCTCCCCTCCCAGAAGGAGTGCTTCTACGGGCAAGGGGAGGGATTTCTAGCAGCAAAAGTCAGGTGTTAGGGTCAGGACTTCCAGTCCGAAGATGGTGAACAGGGGGGGCAGGGCACCTGTCATGGGGGGTGGCTACCCTTGCGGCCCTCCACAGCTCACCAAAACTCATTAAGCAGCCCTCCAACTGAAATATATGCCCACCACTGCTCTAGAGTAAACCCACCCCAGAGCATTTGCATGTGTAAACATGCTCAGTGAAATAGCTCTTATATAGCTGCCTAACCTTATGCACCCCAAGATTGAAAATTTTCACATACAGTTATTTAAATAAAGATGAATGTATTAACTTAATTTACATAGTTCTAAGTATACGAGGGCTGCTCATATGGTTGGGGGCCTCTGTGGCCAGCCCTATGAGGAGAGGCTGAGGGACCTGAATCTCTTCAGTCTCTGCAAGAGGAGACTGAGGGGAGGATATTGTGGCTGCCTACAACCTTATCAGGGGCCAGAAGCAGGGACTCGGGGAAAGGCTGTTCACCAGGGCCCCCCTTGGAGTCACTAGGAACAATGGCCACAAGCTGAGGGAGGATAGGTTTAGGTTAGATATTAGGAAGAACTACTTCACTGTAAGGGTGGCCAGAGCCTGGAGTAGGCTTCCCAGAGAGGTGGTGCTCTCACCTTCCCTGGAAATCTTCAAGAGGAGACTGTATAGGCACCTGGCTGGGGTCTTATGACCCCTCCCACCCCCAGTGCTCATTCGTGCCCATGGCAGGGGGTTGGACTTGATGATCTGTCTAGGTCCCTTCCGACTCATTGATTCTATGATCTGGCAAGTGACTAGTAGTGCCTATAATTCTGCCCTGTTTTTAAGAGGCAGCACTATTGCCATTTTTTAATGTTTATAAATAAACTTGGGCCTTTTTATTGCAGGGTGCAAATATCAATAGTGTTGACACAGAGGGTCGGTCACCACTTCTGTTGGCTACTTCTTGTGCATCATGGAAAATTGTTAATTTACTACTCTCAAAAGGTACAAAAAAAGAAATTAATATTACATGTTTTATCCAAGGAAGGTTCTTACAGGTTAAGATTCTCTCAATGGACTCACCCTTGTCTACCCTTAAAACTTCCTCCCTTGACATCAGGCACAACTGGGTGCAAGAATTGCTCCATGCTCATACTTTCTGGAATACTAAATCCTCCAAAGAGCCAGTGAGGAGCCAAGTCAAGGCCCAGCCTCTCCACATTAAGTACAGAGCTGGGGGTGCTACAGAAGACCACATTTCTGCACCCTCTTCAGTTCCTCACTTCTTCTGGGAGGTGTGGCAGTTGTGTTCTGCCTGATCTCTCCAGGAACTTGGAGCTCTGCTCTACTGAATGCACAAAGAAGGGGCAGAACTGTTATACCGGAAAATGGCACTCTTTCACAGTCAGACCATATTGGATTTTAAACCTAAAATGTAGGCTTTGGTTTTAGTGTAGCAACACCTAAAACATTATTATGCCACTGTACCCTTAGCAAAAGTTGAAATTTAATTGTCCGTTACCATATTTTTTTAATAGAAGTTACTGCAAAAATTGTTGTTCTATTGCTATCATCAATATTTAAAGCTTATTTTTATCAACATTTTAAAATAAAAGTTTTTAGAAAGGAAAATGACTTTCATTCGCACCTTTACTTCTAATAGACAAGAGACTGCATGTCTTTATGGTTTTCCAAACTTCTTGGTTGTACAGTTGTTATGATGATGATAGATTGTTACTCAAATAAAATTGCTTGAGCACATTCTATTAAAAGAGTACAAGCACAGTTGAAAGAATGAGACTTCAAAAGGAGTGTACAAAGTATGGGCTTGAAATTAGAGGTGGTGACCATCTATATTTCCCATTCATAGTTGGATATATGGATGCTCATTATCTGTGAATAGGTCTTTGTAAATGATACTATCTCAAAGTTGCTATGAAACAAATGTTATTACAAGTCGAAAGCTTTGTATGAATAGAAACTTCTGTTTGAGGAGAAGTTCTGATTTATTTTGTGATGGTGGCTTGGTTTAGTTGTTTTTCATTTTAACTTTTCGTATGCATGTTTTAAACTTAATCTTGATTACTGTAAGAACCAGTGGTTTTAAAATGACTAGTATTTCTCAATTCATTAAGGAGCAAATGTATCATTAAAAGATCAACTTGGTCGGAATTTCTTGCATTTGACTGTCCTGCAACCTGGAGGACTGCAACATTTGAATGAGACCTTTCTGCAGGTACAGTGAACATCAATTTGTACCTGTGTATATGGAATGCATTAAGCCTTTGAGAATATGTATTTCTTTGTCTTGCAATGAAAAAGCTATATTAAGGACTTGGTAATGTTCTCATAGTATATGTGAAAATATTTAAACTATTTCTGGACACTGGGGCAACTTTATAAGTAAAATGAACTATAAATCTCTGAGGAAAGGAGGGGGAGAAAGAGAGAATACCACTTTTCTTCATCAATAATGTCAGAAACTAATTGGCTGTGGGGTGTAAAGGAGTGAAAAGCTCAAGAGATTAGCAGTATAATATAGAACTTTTTGTTAGACCCCGACTCCATGTGATGCCCAGTGACTAGGGAGACAACAATTCAAATGCTCATGGGTCCTGTTACTCATTAGCCAGAGCAAGCAGGGAACAAACACCAGCACACATTGCTCGCAACAGCTTTATTCAGAATGGAGACAGCTTTGGGCCAGGTCCCAAAAAACCAACAAACTGGGGACCTACCCTGAACAGTAGTTCTTACTCATTAACATTCACTCTGCCTATGACCCTCCTTCAGTTCCACCCATTTCTCCTCCCATCTCGAGCTCCGCCTCTGTTTACTGTTTGCTTCATTAGCATGGTATTGCCTATGCATTTCATTCATGTACATGCCTCTTTGCTAAGAGCGCATGCCTAAGACTTTGACCTCCACTTTCTCCGGTCACTTGCTGGTTCTTTCTGGTTTCTTGTTGACTTCAGCACCATCTCCAAGGACTTGCTTCTGCTTTATCTCCTGATGATAGCTGGTGGGCTGCATCTTGTTCTTACACAACACATCATGTACTTTGCACCCTATCCTTTTGTTAGGAAACCGCTTACTTAAGCATTTGCAAAGTTAGTTACTTTTAATACATCATCCTGCCTTGTGACCAGCAACTTTTGCTGAGACACAGGAAAAAGGCTTTATTCAGCTGCACACCCAGTGCTGATCCAAAGATCCAAATCCAATCCACACCCAAGATCCAAATATTGTCACCCTAACACTTCACAATTATTTTGCCCATTGTTATGAAGTCTATAGTTTGAATGGGCTGTATAAAGTCCCAGCCATATTTTAAACTTCATCAATTTGAGATTATGAATATTTATAGTGGCCAATATAAATTTTCTCCAGAATGTAATTTTTCTTTTGTTCTTAAGGTTTTAGCCAATAGAGCTACAGATTTGTGATCTAGCTTCAAAAGGAAATGGGAGATGCTGTAGCTGTTACAATGTAACTGTTACATGTGCATGAGCAGGTAGCAATAAGAACTGCCTCAGTTTTAACTTTACTTCATTAAGGGTCAAAACTGAGACAAGTTTATCTTGCTTGTATTGCCCAAAACCATGTAAGTTAGTTAAGAGTGTAACAGCTGCCACATACTCCTAAGCAGCAGCTTCCTCTGCCCTTTTGAAGCCACTCCAAACATATATGTGTCTGTGCCCTGAACCTTTCAAATCTGAATACAGTGTAGCCAATTTAGTGACATCAGCTTCAACCTGCAGAAACTTTAAACCAATGAGTTCTCAGATTTTATCTCACAAATCTTTTTAATGTAATAGGAGAATCAACTTTAAGGTACAACCAAGGCAGTCTAGTGTCCACATTTAACTATTTAATCACTGATCATTTTAGTAATTGGAACAATATATTAGGAGTAGAACGGAAGTAAGGGGCACTGACATAAGTGACATTTTGTTGTATGACTGGCCCCTGAAAGCACTCTATAGCCAGGACCTAACACAAGTGCATGGCTACAGAGTGCTTTAAAAAGGTATTATCCTTAACCCTTGTTACATGAAGGTTCATATGAAAGTGCCCCAAAGTGGAGTGCCTTCATTAACTTGTGTCTGTGCATGCTGGGAGCTCTTGGCACTGTATTCAAAATAGGAAGGGGGAAAGGAGTGGAGGGAACCCATTCTGTGGGTTGCCCAGCTGCTGCTGGAGGGTGGGGCATCTGGATCCAATCCACCTACCCCACCCTCCAGCGCCAACTGGGCAACCCCCAGAACAAGCTCTCTCCACTCCCCTTCCCATTCTGAAGACAGCACTGGGGCTAGGAGGGGGGAGGGGCAGGATCGGGGAGAGGGGCTTCAGACTCATCACCGCTCTAAACTGCAGTTAAATCCTCCAACCCCTGGGACCCAACAGTGAATGTCTGTTGGGTCTGTGAGTTTGCTGTAACTCATGGCACTTTGTGAGAAGCACCATGAATTACCACAGAGAGCTATATTTCTGCATGCACCCAAACTGTTCTGAGTTTGCGACTAGGAGTTAATACTGAGAGGTGCAGAGAAAATGCAGAATAAGCATAAAGATAGAGGAGGGTGAGAAAAAAGGAGCAATGAAGTTAAGGAAAAAGGGAAAAGTAAGGTACAAATAGTGACAGCTAAAATACAGTGTATTTTTTCTCTGAGTAGTGATGCTGTGCTCTTACTACCTGAACACTACTATAGTCTACCTTTGCTCTCTGTACAAACTTTCCACTGACATCAGTAACCAGTTTGTTATGGTTGAAACATTTTGGCAGAACAGTGGTAGAATATCTTGCATTGTATGTATTACCCCCCTTCTGTTACTAATGCAGAGTTTGATTGCTCTATACCACAAGTTAGGGCTGAATGAATGGACTGTAAGGTGGATAGAAAACTGGCTGGAGCATCGAGCTTCAAGAGTAGTAATCAAAGACTCCCTGTCTAGTTGGCAGCCAGTATCAAGTGGTGTGCTGCAGAGGTTGGTCTTGGAGCTGGTTTTGTTCAATGACTTCATCAGTGACCTGGAAGATGGCATAGAGTGCACCCTTAGCAAGTTTGCAGATGACACCAAGCTCAATGTAATAGATATGCTGGAGAATAGTGCTAGTTCATGATCTAGACAAATTGGAGGATTGAGTCAAAAGGAATCTCATGAGGTTCAACAAGGACAAGTGCAAAGTCCTGCACTTAGGATGAAACAATCCCATGCACCAGTAGAGCTTGGGGGCTGACTGGCTGGGCAGCAGCTCTGCAGAAAAGAACCTGGGGGTTACAGTGGACAGTAAGCTGAATATGAGCCAGCAGTGTGCCCTTGTTGCTAAGAAGACTAATGACGGACTGGGCTGCATTGCTAGAGTGTTGGCAGTAGGTCGAGGGAAGTGATTATTCCTCACTTTTCAGCACTGGTGAGGCTACATCTGGAGTAGGATGTGGAGATATTGGAGAGAATCCAGTGAAGGGTAACAAAATGTTAAGAGGGTTGCAGGACATGACTTTTGAGGGAAGACTCAGGTAACTGGGCTTATTTAGTTTAGAAAAAAGGAAACTGAGAGGGGATTTAATAGCAGCCTTTGACTACCTGAAGTGGGGTTCAAAAGAGGATGGAGCTAGACTGTTCTCAGTGGAGACAGATGACAAAAAAAGCAAAGGTCTCAAGTTATGGCAAGGGAAGTTTAGGTTAGTTATTAGGAAGAATTTTTTTCACTAGGAGGGTAGTAAAACACTGGAACATGTTACTCAGAGAGGTGGTGGAATCTCCATCCTTGGAATTTTTCAAGACCCAGTTGGGGGAAACTTTGGCTGGGATGATCTAGTTGGGGATGGTCCTGCTTTGAGCAGGGGGTTGGACTAAATGACCTCCTGAGGTCCCTTCCAACCCTAAGTTTCTATGATTCTAAGTTGCTGAGTTGTTCTTGTGAGGTATAGTCCACTGAAAGCTTGCAATTAGTATGCCTAGGTTGCTAATGGCTCTTCCTCTTTGTTATTTTTGCCATTCTGAAAGCTACATACAGATCTTTAAAAAAGTGCTTTAAAATTATGAGTAACTAGTTAGGACCTGTAGGAGTATGGATAATGCATATGGAACTATTTCTTTTTGTGACAGATGAAACATATTAAAGAACTTGTGGTAGATGAAGACAATGAAGGGTGTACTCCCCTACATTATGCATGTAGACAAGGGGTTGCCCTGTCTGTGAACAAATTGCTGAACTTGAATGTTTCCATGTATTCTAAAAGTAGAGACAAGAAGTCCCCCCTGCATTTTGCAGCTAGGTAAGTGCTGTCTTCTACGTAGTACATTAGTACCACTTTCTCATTCTGGATTTTCTAAGTATTAATTTTTGTTCATTAATCTTTTAAAGTTATGGGCGAATTAACACCTGTCAGAGACTTCTAAGAGACATGAAAGACACAAGGCTTTTGAATGAAGGTGATAGGAAGGGAATGACTCCCCTTCACTTGGCATCCCAAAATGGTCATGAGAAGGTTGTACAGCTCCTTCTGAAGAAAGGTGCCCTGTTTCTCTGGTAAGTGTATAAGGGTATGGACAAATATATGTTTCCAGTGGCTTCAAAATGGGAGGGGGAGGTGATGCTCAAGAGTATATAGCAGGCATTACATTGTAATTGCTATGTGATCATGAACCAGTAGCAATATGAATAAGCTCAGTGCCCCAACTTTGACTCTTGATGAAGCAGGATTCAAATTAAAGTGTTTTTGATATACTGAGGGTCCCTTTACATGCCCAAGTAAAGGTGCAATGGGATCTAATGTGCGATCCATGCAAGCATGCCTTCTGCCATGCCAAATGTGCTGTGGGGCTCATAACAGAGGCAGTTTGGGAAATGCTGTGAGCCTCACACTTCATGAGGCTCATAGCAGTGACAGCCAGGGCCAGACTAATGCATAGGCAAATAAGGCACATCTCTAGGGCCCTAAGTAAAGAAGGGTCCCAGTTGTGCTTGTTTTACGTATTATAATTATTGAGTGAAAAAAGTAGGGGCCCATGAGTTTGTTTGCCTAGGGCCTACTAAAGGGTTAATCTGGCCCTGTTGGGAGTCCCACAGCTTCCACCATTGCAGGCCTTGTCAGCTGCTTGGCTGGCAGTGGGTGGTGGACCCCTGTGCCTGGGAGCCCCTCACTAGATGGGGCTCCCAGCTGGGGGGGGGCACTTGGCTATACATTATTAATAACATGATTAGAACAAACTGCAAAGTTGTTACAGATTTTTATGGAATAACTTTGTAGATTATTGCTTGTTTTATCAATTGGTTGAATGTGTAACTGGGTCATAAGGGATAATTTCCTGGTTAATCACACTTTTTAAGTATAATGTGTAGAGAGGGTATTGCTAGTGGTATTGGTGCATGGTCATGCACACAACAGTTACAGCATAACAGCTACTCAGCACTGCTAAGCAGCAGCTGCCTCCTCCCCTCCCCCACGCGCCACACCCAACATCTTTGGAAGCTGCAACAAACATACATATATCCATGCTCTCAGATATTTTAAAATCTAAATTATAAATTCTTTACAATAAAAAAATTGTATGACTTAAATTTTGTACCATCCTCTATCTTAGAAATGGACTATCGAGGCAGGTTTGCATTAAAGTTAATGTATGTGGTCTTGCTATATTTACTTGAATATAAGATAACTCTCCAATAATTAGATTTTACATATGGAAAATTTATAAATTTGTTATAATTTTCCAAGTTTAGAATCTTGGAGAATTATTGAGGTTTGCCTTGAATGTATCCCCCTTCACACTGCTACAGCAGGGAAAATAAATCTGGGTGGTTAGGTAGCCCCCTTTCCCTGTCTCCAACTTCTTCCTCCTGCAGCCTCTTTCCCTACCTCTCTTTGCTGTCAGACTCTGCTCTCCCTGAGCACATGGAAGTGAGGAGCAAATTTGAAAATACTGAACCTACAATAACCATAGACTTTCTTCATCCAAAACTAATGAATTTTACCTTTTTAAAAACTGTTGTAAGTTTTAACACAGGTACTCCATAAACACAATTTTTAAGCAGAACTTCTGTACCTACTTGAGCATAGTGCAAACTATGCATGAAGCCAAAAAGCTCATGATTTACCATATAGTTCATTGGGCTGGGCCCCAGCAGAATTGACAACATTTCAAGCCATTGTGACCCCATAGCTCATTGTGTGTGTGTGTGTACTCAGATACCCACCACAAAGGATTAATGTGCTAATTAGCCCTCCACTTAGGAATGGAACCCGCTGTCCTTGTTACGAGTCCTGGGATCCTACAAAAATTCATATGCAGATGAGGCACAGGGCAACCTGGTCTGGCTCCACTTCACAGAGTGTGGGGCCACATTAATTATGTGTGACAGGCTGAGAGCAGGGGACAACAGAGGGATTCTGGGTGAACTGTTTGGGGCCCTGTTTGGTGATGTTTGCCAGACCTTTAAGGCTGGTGAAGAGACAGGAATCCTTGGAAATGGAAAAAAAAAGGCATAGCTCAGCTGTGGGAGTAAAGATAAAGTTGAAATGCATTCAAAATAGTGGCTCACCATGACTTGAAAAGAATTGGTGCTGAAGAGGATTGAAAACAATGGGCAGTACCATATATCTTATTCAAATGCACTAAACTAACCTGTCTTTATGGTAGGTCTCCATCAGCATCTCATCCCTTTTGCTAAGATCAAGCATTTTTGGCTTCAATGGGAGGGTGTTAGGCTGGCTTTGGTTCTCCCAGTGCTGGCCTGGTAATGTGGTACCTCCAGGCCTGGTGCCAGTTCCCTGTCAGGAACACCCATTACTCTTTTAAGGACCAGAAAAAAAAAAGGTTCCCATTAGCATGTTTGCCCCCTATGGGCAAAAATGCTCAGTGTTGGCTGTATTTAATCAACTTCACAGTTGGTTTCCATTACTAAGCATGTGCTGCTTTTGGCAGAAGTTTAATGATGCACAGGGTGCATCTGCATGAGATGTTTCTTGCCAAGTAAATACAAGTACTATCTTGTTGCAAAGTTTTTTTCATGTGCAGCAGTGCACATGTAGACACTGACTTGGCTGGCTGGGGCATGATAGTGCTTCAGTGTAGAGGCTACCTGCTGGCTAGCCTCACACTGCAGCACCCTCATGCCTCAGCCAGCCCCTCTGCAGCATGTTGAGCAGCCCCAGGCTAGGCAAGCTGAGCCCTGGACCCCCTGCCACCTGGGGCTGCTCTCACTTGGCTCAACATGTTGCCATCTCATGTGCATGTTCAAACATTAGGTCCAGAAGCAATAAACTCTGGTGCGATATATGATATGTACCAGAGTTTATTACTGCATGCTAATAGCATGCATGGATGCACCCACAGTGTATTTAATTAGGTTTCCTTGTATGCAAGTGTAAGATGAGGGGCTTTTTTTGCATTGGTGGGGAAGAAGAAGAAGTGGGGGAGAATATTATCTTGTATTCAAGTAAATATATTATCGTGGGGGGGGGGAAGCATAAGCCGAGTGACTTCCCATTTGTTTCATTCATTAAGAATATTTCTACAATTATTCTGATTAAGATGGTCTGCCTTGCAAGGGCTTTATTAGCTAAAGACAACTCTTTATCAAACAGTAAGGTAGCTTATGTTGCATACAGGATTAGAGAGAGCTGAAAGGCATGGTTTCCACTTCAATAGAAATGTAGGTCTTATACAATTTGGCTTTGGTCCAAATTGGGCTAGAATAAAATCCAAGATTTCCTGCCACCTGGACTTTTTTTTTTCAAAAACTGAGATATAGTTTTTTGAGAATTAAATATGCTTCCAGAAGACTTGCAGCTGCACAGCAAAAGTTAAATTCTTTTGGCAGTAAGCCTGTAAAAAAAATAAACAAACAAATAAATCTTAATTTCACCAAGCAGCTGGGAAAAGGGGAAGGTAGATCCCAGGATCTGTGGTGCCCAGATGGTCTGAGTCTTAGTTCCCCAACAAGGAGCCTGGACACTCTGAAAATCTTAGCTGCAGTCAGAGGTTTTAGGATTTGCAGGCTCCCAGTGGAGTCGGGAGCTAAGCCCCTGTTATAGCTAGGGCTTCCGGGCTTCTGGTACCATCACAGAAAACCTGGGTGTTTTAGCATGACTGTCCCTACAGAGCCACAAACCTTAGAATTTATGTAGCTCCAGCCCTGGGTCATTTATCTAGGTTCTAGAAACAAAGCTAGGTTCCCAGTACTTTCAGGGTCCCAGATGATATAGACCAGTGGAAGCCAACCATTTTGGCAGGTATGCCACAAATTAGGTACACACCCTCCCTCGGTGCCATTCCCTGCCCTATACAATCAACTGTTCTGCTTTCTGTTCCCTACCCTGTGCTCCCTGCTTGTGGCTCTCCTTTCTTCTCCCTGCCCTGTCTGCTATTATACTGCCTGTCCCCGCTCCAGTCTGCTACATGCCACAATCAGAGGTCCCAATGAAACTCTTGGTACCTATGCTGCAGGCTGATCACCCCTGATTTAGATTATCTGGAAAGCAAACTACTGCATTGGGAGCCTGGGTGTTTTCAGGGTCTGCTGCAGTCCCATCAGGTAGAGTGCCCTAGAGAAAGATTCCTCATACTTCTAAGCTCCCAACTCAAGGCCCCACCTGCCAAGGGATGACCCCAGCATGGGGACTGGTCCCTAGGTTCTTCCCAGTTTTCTGGTCCTGGGATATTCTGGTTACTAGATCTGCTCCAGAGCCATGGACCTCAGAAGTACTGGATCTCCAGAAAAACTGTGACCAAGTCTATAAAAGGTGTCATAATCAAATAATGCTAGTAGACTAAAATTGTGTATTTATGATGTTTTACATGACAGTTGTCTTAAACCCAGAATTCAACAGCCCTACAATGTCTGATACTGCCTCAACTTTTAGGTACTAGTTCTTGGATCTTGTAACTTGTTTTGAAGGGACATTTGATGAAGCCAATAGCACACCAGAAGAACACACTAATGTCTTTATGGGCCTCAGTTATTTTTTGCACAATTAAACCCTTTCACTAAGTGTTGCACTAGTAGAAGACAAATTAAAACAAAACAGACATTGAAATCAATGGAGTAATAATACTGGATAAGTTAGTTCAAATGAGAGACTCATTTGGCCCATGAGTTTAAAGATGCAGTTAAATTACTATACATTTTACAATAGATCATTCACAGTCTTATTATAATTTTACACTTGCTGTTTCAAAAGTGATTATAAAGGCTGGACAGCCCTGCACCATGCTGCCTTTGGAGGATTCACACGCACAATGCAGATAATTTTAGATACTAATGCAAAATGTACAGACAAAGTGGATGAAGAAGGGGTATGTAGCAATACAACATTATTTGTTTCAGTCTGTTGTTTAAAAACATAAATGCCATACTGAGTCAGACCACAGGTCTATCTAGCCCAGTATCCTGTATCTCACAGCAGCAAAGAGTAGATGCTAAGGGGAGGAGTATTTAGGGGTATTACGTCCTATCCAGATCGATTTTTCTCCTGCCCTGTTTCCCATATGGCTTTCAGCAATAGGAAGTGCTAATCCAGACTGCCACTAACATTTAATACCCACTGATAGACCTGCATGAATTTGTCTAAACCTCTTTTAAACCTAGTTCGTTATCAGACTCAACAACCTCTTGTGGCCATTTCACAAGTTAGTAACATGCTGTATGGAAAAACTTTTTTTTTTGTTTCCTTTAAACCTACTTCCTAGTAATTTCATTGCATATCCCCTATTGTGAGAGACAGGTAAATCCTTATTTACTTTGTCCATGCCACTGATGAGTTGTAGATCTCTCTGTATCCCCCCCTCTCAGGCATCTTTTATCTAAACTGAAATATCCTAGCTTGCTTAGGCGCTGCTTATATGGAAGTCTCTCCATGCCCGTGATTATCCTTGTGTTGTCCTGTGGGGCCAGGCCAACTCTCAGGATCTCAAAGTTGTGCTGTAAGATAGGAGGATGTGACACAATTGCACATACACACACACACAAAAATCAATTAGGTGCATACACACACACTAGGCGCATACACCCCCACCAACTCAGGCGCACACATCCAAAATTACCAGCCTAGATGCATGCACACCTATCACCAATTCAAGCACATACACAACCTAATGATAATGACATGAAATCATACACAATACATACACATATACACACAGGATGAACACTGACTCAGGTGACAGTGTGTGTGTTGGTGCCTGTGGTACCTATGCTTGGGGTGCTTGGTAACTAAAGAGCAAGTGGCAGAGATCAAGGGAAAAGGCAGTGGGGATGAGGCAATAGCAGTGGCAGAGATCGGGGGGGGGAAGGCAGTGGGGCTAAGGCAATAGGAAGGAAAGAGGGCTTTGCAGGCAGAGAGGAGCTCAGGATGGCTGGATCCACAGGAGCATGGGACAGGTGTTGGAGGTAGTGGTGAGCCAGAAGCAGGAGAGGGAGAAATGAGACAGAACTTAGAGGGGCGAGGAGCAGAGAGTGAAGCAGGGCCGGAGCCATAGTAAAGCAAAACCCAACTCTGGGGTCCAAATAACAGTTTTATTAAATGAACACTGTACTGTACAGCTTGGTTCCCACACACACTCACACAATGGTAGCAGGAGAAAGAGACTCAGTGGAAGGGTTGGAGCCCAGGTAGGGCAGAGAAACAGAGTCCAAGTCCTTGGTTGAAGGGAGGATGGGGGTGACAGCTACCTATCCTGGGCTGTGAGTTGCTCTTTGATGGCCAGTCAGGGTCTTCTCCAGCAAGGTGTTGTCCAGAGGGGGGTTGCCAGCAAGGCCTCTAGGTGGATAGGTGGTGTGGCATGGTGCTGGTCCAGATGGAGAGGGCATCCCAAGGAGTCAGTCTTCACAACCCCTTTTTATGGCACAGACTACCTATGATCGGTCAATTGACTGCATAGTTTTTGACCAGTCAAAGATTATAGCAATTTTACATAAAAACCTACTTTTTGTAGTTTTCTTGACAGAAATATGAAGTTTTTTTACTGTTTTTTGGCACATTTCTTAATAGAAAATGTGTTCTTTTTCTGTGTATTATTTAGACCTATAGGCAATTTTTTTTTACAATTTTTGACCAATATTTGACCAGTCAATTGACTGAACTTTATTTGACCATTCAAATACCCAACCCTACAAATACTTTGTATTTACCAACCTTGGACTTTTTAATCCACATGAGTATGGTACCCTGTTAATAGACTGGTTTCACTGCTACAGATTATAATAGACAGAATTTAAGATAGTAT